GGGTATACATGAAAAAGAAAATACCGGGGCACTTTGGTGAGAGGATTGTATAACTGAAGTGAAAGGAAAGCATGATGTAGTTACATTTCATAGCACAGCTTGCAGCCAAAGAACAACACACCAAAGCAGGAGAAAATGAGGATCATCAAGACATGCTGCCTCACCGTATAAAGAATGACGTCAAGTTATTAAAAAAAAAATACAAGTGACGCGTTTACCTGCATTTCTCACAGATTCCCTGCAACTGCTATTGAGGAACATGTTTATTGGCCAAAAGGTAGATTGTGATGCTGGCATCTATTGGGCAAGCCATAATGCACGCAATACGTCCAAGAGTTCTCCTTGCTCCTCTTCAGCTTGGATTACAAATGCATCATCAATTCTCATCTCGCAATGCTTTTAATGCTCTTATCCGGTGGTTAAGAAATATGAAAGAAGTGCGGCAATTTCTCAAGAGTGCATTCAGTATCTTGCAAATAATATCGAAACTCCTGATTGATCAGGTACTTTCCACAGATGGGCACATTGCTACCCAAAACCAGAGATAAAGTACTGTAAGCCTGTACCGTTTATCTAGATAAACGGTATCCGCTGAGGACTTTGCTACTGTTGGACGTATCAACATTGAATACTTAAAGGCATCTACAACTGTACAACCTCTGGTTTACCAGCCGATTATGAATCGGGCACCAGAAGATCTAACATTTGACCTTGATGTGTTGTTGAAGACATCTTTACTACTGTGGTTCCCAAGGCCTTCAAAGGTCCGGAACGATACAGATAATAAAAGCAACGGCAAGTACCCTGATCAGTCATCTTCTTTGTTTCTCCCCATGATTTACATGAGTCCTAGTGATCCATCCTACATGTGTTTACTACACTCTGCGTTTTGCTTGTACCCATGCTAAACGGTATAATACTATACAATCGTGTGCACGTTTGATAAGCTGCTATGGTGGAAGGCACTCACAATAATCAGGAGCCAGCAAAGTGACAGTGACTTGAAGCAGATCGTTCTGCAGGGCATTTGATGACGGGCTCAGGACCCCATGAACTTTTTGAAGTATATAGTGTATATATTTCTAGAGCTGCATGTGCGGGGCCATTGATGCTGCTCTAAATACCATTACCAGACTTGTATAATGTACATCTGCAACGAGTACAAACAACCTCCGGAAGCTCCTATAGTGGTCACTATAGGAATTTCCAGAGGTTGTTCAGCACCCAGGTACTCCATGTGGAGTAGCTAATTTCGCAGAGCAGCCCACTTAAGTTCTCTCTTGAACAACTACTAATTAACAGACAACATCTTCCTGATCTTCATTGTGATGTAGCAATTGAGGAAGAGCAGATCCTGGATTTAATTGTGATGCAACAGAAGTTTAAAGCAACAGTTCTTGTCGATGATGACACAAACCTTCTCATCTTGCTGATCTTCTACGCTGATCTGAATGCAAAGGACTTCTTTTTTTTTGCACCTGAGCCAAGTTAAGGCAACTCCAAGAAGAACCGAACATTGAATATCAAACAGCTGAAGGAAACTCTAGGAGGTAGTGTGTGTGACTACTTTCTCGTTGTCGTGTGCTTCTGAACTGCGACACAACGTCTCGCATATTTGGACTAGGGAAAGGCGTAGCACTGAAGAAAATCATGAAGAATGACGACTTCTGTGAGCTTGCCATGGCATTTAGTCAGCCGGCATCATACCTGAAGGAGGCCATTATTCCAACTGGAGAGAAGGCACTTGTATGCCTGTATGGTGGTGACTAAATAGCAGATTGGGTAAAGGTATCACCAATCTTGTCTGCCTTAGAAGCAAAGACTTTGCAACCAATTTCAGCAGCAGGAAATTTCCACAGTCTGCGTGTGTACTATCAGATATTAGAATGGAAAGGAATGGCAGACAGCCTGACATCGGGAAACTGAGTTGGCAGGTCATGGATGGGAAGTATCTTTCCAATAAAAACTGATAAAACACCAGCATCCGCAAAACACCTTAAGGTCATCAGATGTGGATGCAAGAAAGATTATGCAGCCAAGAAATGCACGTGCCGGAAGTATATGGCCTCCAATGTTCAACAGCCTGCACTGATTGTCATGGCACTTGTTGTAGCAACTCACCACCATTATAGGCCTACCTAGAACTTGATGAGAACTACTGATCAGCATGCCACATAAATGTTTGTTTGTTGGAGACTACCAACTCTAATCAAATTAAAATATGTATACTTAACTGTAGGCCTCATGACCTGCATCCTGTAATAACAACTGCACTGGGATTGTAAACCAACATAGACATAGCTGCTCTGAAATGCATTGTAAGGTGAGAAATGTATTAACCCACTTTAAAAAAATGTATGTGTATATATGCAAATTAAAAAAACCTTATTATGAAACATTTGAAATATAAATATATTTGTACAACATATATAAGTGTTGTCGCAATTAGTCTGAATGTAACATAAGACAAAAAATATCATTATAATAAATTCTCTACAAGAAATGTTTAATTTTAATAGCAGTCATTTTGAATTTAAGCAAATTAAAACACTCAACCGGGCATATGAAACCTTATGCAAACAAAACAATTCTTGGAAATAACATTTTAGACATTCAAAGTACACTAAAAGTGTGAATATTTTGACCAAATCTAGGAGAAAACCCTAGAATTGACGGCCATTGTGGATTTATGGAAATTAGACACAATTAGTCCACTACACGGAGAATGTAAGGTATAGACTGTACCCCTATAAACATAACCCTATAACAGCTCTTGTGTTTGTACGAATACTCATAAGGGCCAGTTTTTCGGAACTTATATTTTTGTTTTAGTTTTCAATATAAAATGACATGATATTATTTTGTCTAGTGCATAATGAAATAACATCATCTGCTAAGGTAATACATTACATGTTGAATTGTGTGGGTGTGGGTGTGCGGGGGATTTGTTTCAGGTGTGTGATGTACCTGTAGTATATGGGTATTTTAGTTGATACAAAATGTACAGCAGATCACTTTTCCTACTCCTTTAGTGCCACAACAGCCTATACAAGTTGACAAATATGACAAAATCTATGTGAAAATCCTCGAAATAGCGGCCATATTGGATTTATGCAAATTAGGGACACTTCCACTACTTGGATTTTTTTGGACTTTTAGTATGTCATTTTGGGGACCTTACGAAAATGCATTGCAGTGAAAAATATTTTATTGCAATTTGTTTGACCTCAAAACACAATATTCCTAGCCTATATACAGAACAATAAGCCAGTTCACGGTTGCAGTCTGAGCATGAGCAGATAAAGGTCATTGCAGAACAAATTTTGAAATACACGGAGACGAAATGCTGGATACGTGCTCATGAATGTTATGTAACATTATTCATTCATGCACATTTAGTGCACTCCATGGTACACAGGTGAAAGTATTCTTTGAAAAGGGGGAACAAAGGCTATTTATAAAAGCACCTCCATCGCTATAGGAGTAATTATTTCAAAATGTTTAAAGTGGGACCTCTTCATGTTTTGAAGATCTGTGGATATTCGGGGTCATTGCAGTAAGGTGCTAACCGTGAACTGGTCTATTGCACTTATGGGTACATCTTGAAAAAGAAATCCATCAGCAGTGGTTGTGATTTTTTTCATTTGTTTTCTTCTAATTTTCTTTAATTGATTTGGAGCAGTGATCTTGATAAAATAGCAACCTTTCTACTCTACCTTAAACTGTGAAAATAAAAATTTGAAAAATTTGAAAAAGAAATACATTTAACGGTGGTTGTGATTTGTTTTCTTCCCATTTTGTGGAATTTATATAGAGTGATGGTGAGGAGGAGACCCCTGGTTTATCAGAATATGAGAAGAGGAGGCTGGAGAACATATCAAAGAATGCAGACTTCTTTGCTTCTCTCGATATCTTCAAGGTCAGTTTGATAGGGTCAAAGGTTAGAGGTCATTCAGACTACTGAACCTCACTCACCAAGTAATGAGACCATTAAAGCCCCTCTAAAGTGTTGGGAACCCCAACAATTAGATGCAAAGTTTCAGTTCAATTGTAGTTGTACTATAATGTTAAAGAGGCTGTCATTTCACACACATTTCTGCAAACATTTTCGAAACAAATGTGTTTGTAGTCGAATATTGATGAATGAATATCCAATTTAGGTTTTCTGCAAAAGAAAACCTAATATATACAGTGCGTCCCAGAAAAAACGAAACCGAGAATTATCAATGTTGTATCATAACTTAGTTAAATTTATGATTAATAAATGACACATATTTGGACAACTTAGATCCTCTTCTTTCATGTGATGCAACTCATATGATGCATATTTCATGCATGAGTGATTAAAATCAATTTGAAGAGAGGAAACCAAAAAGTCATTTGGCGGACGGTATCTGAATTTTAAAGAGAAGATCACATTTCTAGAAAGTTGAGTTTCTACCCTTTCATATGACACCTCAATCAGGAAAAATGAGCTAGGAAGAACAAAGTTCTGTTTGTTTAAAGTAGTGCTTGCATTTCCATAATGTCATCAAACGAATTCGTTTTCACTGGCTGCCTGCCATAGCAACAAGCAGAATTGACAAAAGACTTAACTCCGTTTCGTTGACAATCAGCCATGCATGAAATTTTTTGTCTACGGTTGATTGTCAACAAAACAAATTTTATCACTCATGCGTGAAATATGCATTATATGAGTTGTATCAAATAAAAGAGGAGGATCTAAGCTTTACAAATATGTGTCATTTATTAATTATAATTGTTATCGAGTTATGATCAAACATCGATAATTCTCGGTTTTGTTTTTTCTGGGATGCACTGTATATATATGTTTGTATACAATTATGACCTATTGTAACAGTGTCTGTTTTGATTGTCTATAAATGCCACATCTGTCTCTTCTGTATTAAATGAGTCATTGTAGGAAAACTTGCTCCTTCATACTATAGCTCTCTACTCACTATTAACCTTTGAACTTTTGACCCTTTGACCTTGATCTTTCAGGCCAAGGAGAATCTCGTAGCGCTTACACCGCAGGCCCAGAATCCGCAAGCCAAGAAACCCGAAACACAGACCAGAGGACTAAAGCGGTAGGCAGAGGCTGCTAACTCGTTGAATTAGGAAATATCTCATTCCCATAGAGGTGTTTTGGTTTTATGGTATTATGGAGAAGTGTTTTGGTCTGGTGAATATTCAAGATGGATGACTTTGAGTGTGATACAAGAATATATTGCTCGAGTTATGACAATATATAGGTGTGTTTATTGACCAAATTTTTGGCTAGAATCAGGTTTCTCAAACGTCTTTCAGGCAAATTAATAAGGTGATAAACGCAAAGCCTTTTTTTAAAGGTCTTTAGATATGGGCATATCTAAAGACGCAAAAAGGTGTGTTTTGAATGTGACATACAGCCAGAATCACGTTTCTGAGAGATGATAAACGCAAAGCTGTTTTGAACCCCACATACGAATCGGACCACCCAGGTTAATTTCCGGTTCGGAGGCTAGCGCTCGCCATGTGTTGTGTACAAGCATGTGTGTGTAGTTGACCTCCGAGAAACTGTCTGCTTCCCGGGTCAAATGGCGCGAAACAGCTGCGCAGACACAAGGCCTTTATTTTGAATCGCGAAGAGACGAAAAACGCGACATCCCGCAAATCACTTTCGTATAGTGGGGTTAGATAGTGGGGTATGATAGTGGGGTACGATATGTACATATCTAGTGGCAAGACCCAATAAACCGCACCCTTAGACGAGTCAAAGACGAGTCTGATATTGTCTTAGCGAGAGCAATATATTCTTGTATCATACGAAAACAAAGCCATACAATATTATCATTATTATCTATTATTAGTAATCTGACAAGCGAAATAACAAATTTTGACTTAACTCGACCAGTAGATATGGCTTTAGCCCGAATTCACAAAGAAGGTTTAACTTAACCCATGGTTTAAAACCTCATTTACATAACCCAGGGTTTAAAAATTAGCGCAAAATAAGCGTACCCTGCTTTGCGCGTGTCTAATTTTATTTGACCTCTGACTGTGTCGCGCTTATTTTGCGCTTATTTTACTGAGCAATACAAAAACATTATTGGTCAGTCATCCGGGTACTGCGCTTAAGTTATTGAATACACTGATTTATTGTACCCCTTGGAAGCCTTATATAGATAATAATAATAATCTATATTTGCTACTCTCTATCCTGATCCAGGTGCATTAAATTGGGACCACTACCTGCTATATCAAATTTGGAGATTTGTGAATAAAATAATCAACATTGGCTATTGTGGAATAGAACATTTTGTGTTTGGTGCATGTTTTGTTTTATATACCTCACTTAAGAAACCCAGCCATCTGATTGGTCGAAATTGCATTCATAAACTTTAACTATTCCTGCGAAGAATTGGTCGGTATTTTCATACAAGACAAGACAATTCCAAACGACAAAAATGGCTAAAGAAACTCTCCCAAGATTTCAACTTATCAAATGCAAGACTCGCTGACAGCAAGAACAGCAAAAATGGTACGTGAAATTATCCATAAACATGTTCGTTTGGTTGCTGAAAATGGAGTACCAGCATAGACGTAGACGAAAATAGATCTAGTAGTCAGGGTGTCTGATAGCGCACCCGATGTTGTGTGCTGAAATTCTTCCCATAGAGATTGCACGCAATGCAGTCTCTATGCAGTCTACGTGCATTGCGCGACCATGCAAAAAAAGTCAAGTTTTTTTTTTCAATTCAAGATTCAAACCTTTATCTGTTGTGATCCTTAAGGTGATACTCAATAAGTGAGGTGTCAAATGAAAGCGCAGGTTCTTCTCCATATTTCCCACAGGGCCGGCCCACCCCCAAAATTGTAAAAATATCTTGCTTAGACTAGAATCTAGATCTAGATCTAGTCTACTCTCAAAGATACACTCAGTCATTGTCATAAAAACAACCGTGCAGATAAACTAGAAAAAGACCAAGGTGGTGTCATTAGTTGACTCTTTTGTTTTCGGCATATAAAAGTATTAATGACTGCTTTAATATTCGAGAAATAGTTGTTTTTATATGCTCTCGGGAAGGTTACAATTGGGCTATTGCCCAATTGTAACCTTTCCTTGAGCGTCCTTTCCTTGAGCGTATAAAAACAACTATTTCTCTCAAAGCAGTCATTAATACTATACTATCGCACAGTCATGCACAAAAAAATGTGTTTTAGGTGCTCTATCCACAACGTTTGTTTGTATTTCATTTTAAATCTAGACAGAGGAGTTCAGAATCTGCTCCGGTTGTTGAGAGACCGCGCTCGCTCCGTCTACAGAACAAGAGCGCAGATGGATCGGCGTTGCCTGATAACTTTATCCTTGGGTTAAAGGTAGTGTATTAGTAAACATTTACAGGGGAGTGTTTCACAAAGATCCTAAGTTGGACTTAAAAGTTATGGAGAGCCATGTGTAGCCTTGACATTAAATATTTCCAAAAGCAAAAATTGAAGTATTTTAGACTTTTCCTAAACTCCACATCAAGAACATGAAATCTCCTTGATAATAGAAAATATGAATGATTTGAATCAACATTTTATGCCTTTTGAAATACCTTTTATAAATTATTTTCAATGATGCCTACGGCTTTCCGTAATTGTTAAGTCCAACTTAGAGATAAGTTCAACTTAGGATCTTTGTGAAACATCCCCCTGATCAACCTTGTGGTATAAGCTCTCTGTTGTACACACATTCTGTCTACGGTATCACATATTTTTTAAAGGTAGTTTGTCCCTTTTGCAGGCTGAAAATATAAAATGGGGTACCGGTAAATCCTATGCTATAATCATGAGAAAATACCAACTAAAAACTCCTCTTATCTGAAGAACCGATAGATGGATTACCGCCAAACTTGGGTCATGTATCTTGCAGAGCCAATGAACTGATTAGATTTTGGGGTCACGAGGTCAAAGGTCACAGGGCTCATCTATGCAAAAGTAGCTCGTCATCGCGTTATCTCAAGAACCAATCGATGGATTGCCGCCAAATTTGGGTCATGTATGTATCTTGCAGAGCCAATAAACTAATTTGATTTTAGGGTCATGAGGTCAAAGGTCACCGTGCTCATTCTGTATGCAAAACAGCTCGTGATCGTGATCGTGTTCTCAAGAACAGATTGATGTATTACCACCAAACTTGGGTCATGTATGTATCTTGCAAGGCCAATCAACTGATTAGATTTTAGGGTCATGAGTTCAAAGGTCAAGAGTCATGAGGCTCATTATGGATTTTAAAAAAGCTTGTGATCGCGTTATCATGAGAACCTATAGACAGATTACCATCAAACTAAAAAAAATTATATCTTGCAGAGCTAATGAACTGATTAGATTTTATGGTCTTGAGGTCAAAGGTCATGGGGCTCATTATGTATGCCTATAAATAGCTTGTGAATACATTATCATTAGAAGAAGAATAGATATATGGTACGTATTTCTTTTCAGGTAATCACTGCAGAAATTTTGACTGTAGTAGTTACATTATTAGTATCAATATTAGTTTATAGAATATGTTTGGCAGTATGCTAATAAGTAAGTTTTATCTTCCATTTTAGCGAGCCTGTGGTAAATGTGATGCATGCGCCAGAACAGAGGACTGTGGACAGTGCTTGTACTGTAAGGTAAGACAGTTGAATGTGTGTGTTACGTAAACTAATGAAATTGTTTTATTGTGCAGGCCTGATTAAAAAAAAGACTTTTTTTTTAGTGCTCACTATCACCCCTGATTGTGTGCTCTGCAGTCTGCAGTACTCTAGTGTTATTTTTAATTTTGTTTGGGGGGAGGTACATTAATTGTATCTCTATCAATCGTATTTATGTTGCCAAGTTTTCTTTTTGTGCCACTTTTAGTGAGGCTGAGCAGAGGGTGTGTGTTGGTGTATCCATATGCATGTGAATGAATGAGGTTGGCCAACCGGGTGTATGTGTGCTCTGATTGGTTTTACAATATTTCATTATAATTTGCTTGTTTGTTTATTTTGTAACAGGGCCCCATTCTCACAAGCTTTGCTTATCTTGGGGTATTTTTTATGTCTTGTTAATTTGAATTTTAATGGAAAATAAATTAATTGAATTGGATCTCAATAATAATAATAATAATATTTAATTTTTATATAGCGCTTAATACATATGTCTCTAAGCGCTTTACAAATATACTATTACCCCGGTAGTTGGTTTCAGTGCTTGCCCACACGCAATGTGTAAACAATCTCCACTCCCTGGGGAGCATTCCAGCCAGGCGTTACATGACGCTCAAAAACTGGCTGAAAGTGATACTAATTGTGAGTCACAATCCATTTCAGATGCAAATTATCTTTTTCTTTCAGGACAAGACAAAGTTTGGAGGAGCTGGTATGAAGTATCACAAATGTAGCCGAAGAAAGTGTCTGAAGAGCTTAAAGGTAAGTCTCTCTCTAAGTGCCATATAGTTTGACTTTGGCGATCATGCTGTTCCACAACCCTCGGTTCCTAGCCTTCTGTATTAGTACCACTCCCAGTTCTTTCACTCCTCTCTCTTCCAACAATTTCTGCAGACTGTCCATCCAAAGTATCCTCCTTCTTCCCACAATTTTCCCTGTCAAAGCAAGATTCTCTAGGCCTTCTTTACATGTAATGTGACCCATGAACTTCAACTGCCTAATCAACATCTCACGTATCATTTTCCTTTGCACTCCAGCTTGTGTAAGAACTTCCTCATTACTAACTTTGTCAGTCCAGGGGATGTGTGATCGTGAATTGTATTGGGCTCCCTGTACCATAGGAATAATTGATAACCTTGCGTAAGTCAATCTTGACGGGACTAAGTGAAATGTAATGGATATGTCATCGGACTGTGGATCACAAGGTCCGCGGTTCAAGTCCCTCCACGGCATTAATGTCCTTTGGCAAGACATTCGTTCGTTCATTCGTGTCTCCTTAGATCAAGATAGTTATGTCAAGTTCCTTAACTGAAATTAAATTAAATTAAATCAAGTTCTTCCATCGCTTGATTGCTGCAATTGCCGTTTCATTAACAAGGGCCAGGTCTTCATCTGTGCATCCTGTTCCGCCGCACTGCAAGATGTGGTCTATCGTCTGAGTCTCTCCGCAGTCGCAGAGAGTATCTCCTTCATGGGCATAGCCCCATCTTGCCATATTGACCTTACACCACCCCATTCTCGTCCGATCTACATTGATTTTTGCCACTCTCCACCCAGGTGTTAAATGGGTATATACATGTATGCGAAAGCTAATGTGTTTAGATTAGCAAGTTTGCACTTGTAAAAATTACGCCTGGCCGGAATGCTCCGAGGGAGTGGAGAATATGCAAACATTGTGTGCAGTTGAGCTGAATTTGATGACCGGGTGATAATATACATGTATATCTGTAAAGCGCTTTGAGAGGGCCTTCGGTCCTGAAAAGCGCTATATAAGAACTACCTAATATTATTATTATGTACATAATATGTTTTTTCTAAGGCATAATGTAAGTGGGGAACGCCGCACTGCGACACGTACGACCAAGGGCTTAATTGGGATTACTTTTATCCGATATCATGTTTTAAAGATTGAATTCTGGTCATGCATTGTGAAAGAAAAGGTGTGGAATGAATCAGAAAAAGTTGATCATGTAGCATCTAAGTATTGGTGTGTACTGCAAGCTAGGTTCTGGAGTCATCAAAATCATAATAAATTTGGCCCAGTCTTGGTAAATTAGTAACAAACACTGTACAAAGAAAGATGTATATGGGACTACACAAATGGTGTGTGAAGCACTCAGCACAGTAAAATGAGCATGAACAATAACTGCTATTACGAACTGATTAGATTTTAGGGTCATGAGGTCAAAGATCAAAGGGTCATACATGTATATGAAAAATAGCTTGTAATCACGATATTCTGAGAACCTGTTAATGGATTACAATCAAACCTGAAGTTCAAAAATTGCTTCTGTTTTGGTTTGTAAAATCGCTCTATGGCGGAGGCTTCATTTCAACTGTGTGCAGTCGAAGATCCATCTAGTTTCTGACTTGTTTTCAATTATAAGATCGAGCACACAATTTTGATTTACTGGGTGCTAGCTAAAAATTTCTTTATAATTGAAGCTTCTCCTGATTGGTTGTTATAGGAGAGACTGCCCTTTGACCCGCTCAAGATGGATGCCACCAATGTCAAGAAGGAGGAGAAGACGGATGCAGGGAGGGACTTTGTGGAAGGTCTTGCTGCCCTCGCCAGGGGTGAAAAGACCAGTGTCACAGCTGATGACAAGGACTTGGAC